TTATTAATTTATTTTTCATCTTTGAGAACTGTGAATCATGTTGGTTACACCCAGTTTTTCCCTTAATCGAGGGTGACCACATGTCCCCGTTTTTTCCAGCGACAGCTCCAAAGCTGTCGACGTCTAGCGTTGCGCTTGTTTTGGCCAGCAGAGAGTGCTAGCTGCTAGCTATAGCAGCTTCAGAAGTGAAGCTAAAACAATCAAAAGTTAGTTTAGTTAGCAGAGTTTTCCAATCAGATTTTCCTTTTTTGTTGTTTCTAGGCAGAGAAAATGTCAGCTGGCTCTCATTGGTTCGGAGTTCATAACCAGGCAGTAAACTAACAAAAACAAATACTTCAAACAAACAGCCTTCACAGTAGTTTATTACAATACAACAGTTACTGTGGTTGAAATATATGAAACCATGACTGTCTTTTTATGTCATAGGTAAAAACACTGGATATTTTAATGATTTATTGGCGCTGAACTGGAAATGTTTTCATTTCCGAAATCTGGTCACCTGAACTGCCCAGAACTGATTTTAAACTGTGTTTGAGTTTTAGAAGATGACACTGCGTGATTCTGTTTTTCATTGTTTTATATGTTTTAACGAATAAATGAATTAGTCTCCTCCAACACTGGTGTAACTACAGGAAACACAAAGCGCAATTAAGTGTTTGATTGTATTTACTTTATCTGTGATATGTATTTGTTTGTACACTTCCACAGTATTTACAGCATAAAGACAGTGCCTTTATACTTTTATTTCTCTTCTATACTATGCATCTTCTTCTACTTCTCTGGTACGACTTTACTTCCTGTTTGGGTGGAAGACATTTGTTATCTTAAAATCATGAGACGTTAGAGCTCAGAGATTCAAGCCAAATGTAATCTTTATTAGACTGTTTCTGTACAAAAAGCACTGGATCACAGAAAAAAACAAAAAAACAAAAAACATGCATCTATTTACAGCATGGCCAGAGACAGAAAAAGAAAAAACCTGGGGGTGTCGCCCCCTCCGTTTGTATTCTAAAGACATTAATTAAACATTGTGCTTTGATATACTTTGATGATATATTTTATATTTCACAAAGATGCAGTTCCTCTGCCTCTTTCACATTGAAGTAAAACATTGAAAAAAGTTCTCTGCAGTTTTTAAAACCAGGACCGTGAGAAGCAAACTTTCTACAACTGTGACAAAATCATGTTTTAGCAAGCTGTTTAAAGGTGGAGTTCAGGTGGAGGTGTGACTGTCTGCTCTGCAGGTTTCATTAGTTCAACTGAAAAAAATGGCTTCTCCCAGAGACACTGGACAGATGTTCACCCAGAGGCTGACGTGGCGGCGTCCGGGTGACGCTGTGCAGTGACTGAAGGTTTCTGTCAGTCCTGCTGGATTTGCATAAAGTCAGAAGTTTAATCTTTTCCGAACCTCAGACCCCCCCCCCCCCCCCCCCCGCGCTTTCCTGTTTCTAAGACGTTTAGACATTCAGGTGATTTTATCCTTTTATAAGAGTTAAAGGGATGAAGGATGATTCTGGTTCTTCCAGCACAGAGTTTTTGGGAAAACAACAAAGTGCATTCAGATGTTTTCTCATCGTTGTCATAGTGATGAATCTGAATCTTTTTATTTGAAGGGTGAGACAGTTTTCTGGTAATCATGAGAAAAGGATTTTAACACAAGCTAATTTTCTTCAAATGTCATGATACAGTTTTTTAAAGGACCAGTCTGGAGGATTTAGAGGCACCTAGTGGTGAAGATGCATATCGCCCCTCCCCCCTCCCTTTCCAAGTGTGTAGGAGAATCTACGGTGGCCTTCCCTCTAGAGCCAGTGTTCGGTTTGTCCGATCTGGGCTACCGTAGAAACATGGTGGTGCAACATGGCGGCTCCGTGGAAGACGACCCCCTCCCTGTGTAGATATGAAGCGCTCATTCCAAACTAACGAAGACACAGTGATTCTTAGTTTCAGGTGATTATTATACAATAATGAAAACATGATTATTTGACATTTCTGTTCATAGTTTCCTCTAAATCCTTCACACTGGTCCTTTAAGTGTGAGACTGTTTCACTGGGGAACTGATAAATGAGTTTGAATCTTGGAATTATGAAACACTTTCTCATGATTGTGAGAAATTAATAATAATAAATTAGGTTTCATGTAATTTTGACATATGAAATGCATAGTAGCCCACAGCCCACTGAATGTGAGGTGGATTTCTTGTGAATTTGGGATCCGGATCTTTAATCATAAGATTTACGAGATTCTTTTATGACACACTGATGCTGTAATTATGAGTTTTAATGTAATCTGAACCATAAACGTTTCATTGTAATTTCTTGTGAGATGCTAAATTATAATCATGTGATAAGGAAGTAATAATTATTTCTTTCTTACGTGAGCAAGGTGCACTTCTGTAGTAAACTCCCGGACTGTGTTGTGATCTGAAAGGCTATCCGCTAACGTAGCGTCTTCAGTTTAACATCAGTGCTATGCTAACGTTATATTACCTGGGGAACCTGAGGGACAAATATTTGGTGCAGAAAAATAAAAGTTCTCGCAGTGAAACTGGGGAACGGCTCATCAAATTAATCAAATCACAAACTTAACGGAAACGTACGATAATCGCTAAAACTTCGGCGAATGAAAACCTAAGAGAAGAGTCTGTGTTGAAGTGTGGTCAATCGTAAGGCATCAAACAGTTTGTTTCTTCTAATTCCCCGAACGTCTCCACAGCGGAGTGGAAGACGAGCTCGCGTTACAGAACAGGAACACAGTTGCATAAGTAAATGATGGGGATCGTGTGTGAGGACGAGAACAGCACCATCAACAACAACACCAACATCCATGGAAGTTTCCTTGAGATCAGTGAAAACTGTGGTTTTAAAATCTGCTGCCTGTTTTTAAATCGAACAATCATTCTCACCAAGAAACACAAAGACGAGGGTCGGCTCTAATATTAAGATGGATAAAATATTATCTTCTAAACACCGAGACCAAGAGATACGCTCGGCCCAAAAGTAAGAGTGGTGGAATATTATGACATTATAAGCTTCTGAAATATAAAAATTTCACATGACAAGGATTTGTGCCGTTTTCAGAACGGCAGAAAAAACATATCGGTGCATATCGTTCTAGCTTTCATCTTTTTTTTTCTTTTTTCTTTTTTACTTTCAGCTTTTTTTCTTTTTTGCTAAGATGCATTGCTCTTATTAAGTGCCCCAACAAAAATAGTGCATTAAGAAATAACCATGATTATACATTTCACAATAATACACAAAGGACGAGAAGAACCAGGGGAAACACAAATGATGCTGTTTACAAAAAGTTAAATATCGTATCGGAAAAGCATTTTTATACAAAAGTGATGAAAGCGTTTTTTGACCACGTCATGACGTCGTGTTGTTTTTACAAAAGGGTTAATTCCTCTCACTTGTTCACTCTTTTTACAATATCTAAAAGGTATTAAGACATCAAATGTGTTTACATATATATTTGAGACTATCATTCAGGCCTAAATCACAAAAGGAACTCCCCAAAACATACTTTATAAATACATATAAAATAAGCACAATCAGAAGAATAACAAGAGAATCTGGTACCTAAATGTGATTAAAACTGCTGCAAGCTTTTTCTGCTTAAAATCTACCACTCGACACACCCGCAAAAAACAAAACTATTGTACTGGATCAAAATGAGACAAAACCAAACTAAAGTGAGAAGGAAAGGAAAATGAAAAACCTCGACTTTATTCGGACAAATGTTAGTGTAACATCTGTAACATCTGCTCTTCTCTCCTCGGCAGGACGTGTGTTAATTCTTTCTTCAGCTTAGAAAATTAATGCTTTTTCCTCCTTTTTAGCATAAGAGACAAACATGAATTAAAAGCTATGGTACAGAAAGGAAAATGCTATCAGACGTGATATTGATCAGTGGTCTTAAAGAGTCTGGTCCTCTGGGTTTTGTGGGAGCAGGGGATTCTGGGATTTCTGATTGGAAACCCGTCAAATGTGGAAAACGTCTGACGGTTTGTCCAGGTGTAAAAAGGTTTGATTCTTCCTGGTTTCTGGACTCAGTCCGACTCGGGTTTAGAGTCCACCGGGAGCTTCTGATCCAGCGAGAACCAATCGAATTCATCTTGTATTTATTACTCCAATAAGTGGAGATTGTATTTTAGCCAGAATATAGTTCGTAGTCTGCAGCTCGCTGGTGAAGTGTTGACTGGTTTATTTGTCAGTGAAACCTTGTCACCAGTTTTCATTCTTACAATAAAGAGTTTTAACTCCACGATTAAAGGACCACTGTCTGCAGCATGAACCCGACTACAGAGGAAGTCAAATTAGATCTGATGAGATAAAAGCGATACTGCTTGATAAAGATTTAGTTTAGATAATAAATGAAATTCAGAAAAATTCAGCTTCATGTCTCGGGTCTGGTTCCAGTCTAACATGAGGAGGTTTCAGCCGGGTCCGGTCGGACCGAGGCCGGATCAGGCCGAGTCCTGGTCTCAGTGTCAGGCCTGCGCTGAACTCCATTAAGGTAAAAAACGATTTGAAAAGTCTTTTAAACTTTAACTTTAACTCATTCTAAAGCAAGTTTAAGAATCTGTGAATTCATTTTCATTTCATCTTTCAAATAAATGGAATCCAGAATAAACGGCTGCTGAGAGATAAAAACAAAAAACATCTGAATTTCTAAACGTGATTTTTATTAAAAGGCTAAAACAAAAACAGTGGAATGGTCCTTTAATCGACTCTGATCGAAGCAGACTGGTCAGATGGAGTTAGGACCTGGTCCAGTGTGAGGTCACAGAAGCTCCCGGTGGCCACGCCCCCTCCCTCCCTGTCTCACAGTGGTTCAAACTGATCTGAGACCTGTTCAGTCTCCACAGAAGAACCTGTTTCATTACTCAGCACAACAAATACTCACACAGACACCTGCCCTCCCACCCTCAGGTCACACCCCTGACCTCTGACCTCTGACCTGGACGTGGAGCCGCTGCAGACGCTGTCTGTCTCAGGTGTTCCTCTGAAAGGTCCGAGCCGACGTCTGCAGAGGCTTCATCAGAAAAAAGATGAGCGTGATGATGTCATTGTCTGATTTGAGTTTCTCCTCCGGTGGTCAGTCCGGGGTCAGACGGGGTCGGCCGGACTGAGGGATGATGGGAAGGATCATTCTCTGCTGTTGTTGTTGTTGTGGTGTTTCAGGTGGGTGGGGCCGTCGACACTGGGGTATGGGGGGCTCTGACGGTATCTGGCTGAGACTCCTCCTCACATGGGGGGCACGATGAGACCTGCCATGGCTGAATGACCAGAACAAACAGACTCAGTCAGATTCAACTGTCGGGGGGGGGGGGGGGCACCACACTGTGTATGTCCACTTATTTTTACTGTCAATACATATTGATTAGTGTATGAACACAGTCTTCCATTGGTTCCTGCTCATTTCTTCACAGTATCAATATTAATTAACATTAATGTTGATTCAATGAACTTGTTTTAATAATTGTGTTGAAACTACCTGGTTTTCTTCATGTCTGAAGTCTGGATCTCTGCAGGTCATTCAACATGACGAGCTACAACATTTGATTTCTAATGGAAACCTGTAACACTTTAAAGTCCAGAATCGACTTCCTATAACGTGCAGAGTTACAGACACCTGCTTCTTCTCAGTTATTACAGAATTAACATTAGTGCTGGATTTGACGACTTATTGGCCGATTGATAAACAGCCACGTTTTCATTTTTCTTTCTGTGAAAGAGTCGAAGTGAAAAGCTGCAACTTTTCAAGAAGAAGCTCTGACAGGAGCAACAAGGATAAAGACTCCATTATAAAGGCTTTACAAATGGCTTACAACCACTTTATTAATTAACTTGTTATCATTTGATCAATCATTTAGAAGCTGTTATTACACATTAGATAGAAAGGGCAACAGTGACCTGTTTCCTGCCAAATAGTGAGCCCTCCTGGGTCAGTACTGTTCAGCCTCATGTCTTTGTTTTTTCCATCATCAGCGTCTGTAGCTGCTGCTTCATCATGTTTGTTCAGTTTCTAACAATCAAGCATCAAATTAAAATATCAAATGACCAAATCCATACTCTAAGGTCTCAGTAATATTGTTCCCATGAGCTGCTGTCGGCAGCTGCAAAATGAGTGTTACTGTAAACACATCATCATTTATTAATCAGTAATTCTAAGGCTCCTTTTACCACTTATCAATGGTAGTTACTCAACAGTCAGATTAATGAGTAGTAAGCATTAATTTGATCTTGCCAAATAGTGAGCCTGCATCAGGGTATGAAAACTGTGTTATAATTGTTTATATATGATTTATAAAGTGTTAATAACCTGATTATAAACCCTTTACTAACCAATATTTCAGCCATGTTCAAGAAAAAGCGACGTGTCTCCAGACTCGAGTAAAAAAGAGAGAATCTTAAACGAAGCAGATTGACTCCAGATTCTGGGACGTTTGAAAGGATTTGCTTTAGGAAGCAGTTTGACTGTTTCTTCTAAATGAGACTGAGATATCGGAGTTTGAGGAGAGGAGGATGAAAGTGTTGAACATGAATAAAAAGCTCTTAAACTTTAAACTTTATCCCACAAAGTGCCAGAAAGTTATGGATCAACTTTGACCTCAGCTGTTTAAAAGCAGGTCCACACAGAGACAGAGTCTTTATCATTACAGTGGCGCTGGACGTCTACGGGTCCAGACGGGACATGGACGAGGACAGCAGGGGACGGGGGTGCTGACAGGTGGGAGGGGGGGTGGGATGCTCACCCTGGAGGTTGCTGCCATTGGTGGTGGTGCAGGTGGGGGGCGGGGAGGTCTGTGGCCGCACAACAGGGGCGAAGGCGCTCTTCTGTTTGACTGCAGAAACCATATGGACAGGAGAGAATGAATAAGGGCCTATGGGAGGAAGAAGAGGAGGAGGAGGTGAGGAAGGCGAGGGAGTGAAGGGAGGAGGGTGAACCTACGGGAGGAGGAGGAGGAGGAGGAGGTGACGAGGTAACGAGCAGGCAGACGGACAGAGGAGGTGAGTGATCGGTGGAGATGAGGCGGATCGTGCAGGAGGAGGGTGGGGGATGGGAGGATGAGGAAGAGGAGGATGAGGAGGAGGAATGGGTCCGTGCCTCAGATCGGGCCGAGGGCTGGAGGAAGAAACATGCTCCGAGCACAAACATCTGCACATCTGCACATCTGGCAAAGTTGATCCATAACTTGAAGGACTTTTCTTTTCTTATATAAAACCAACCTGATCCGACCTGAGAGCAGCAGCTTCACACACACTGTACAGGTGTGTGAGTGTGTGTGAGTGTGTGTGAGTGTGAGAGGGTGTGTGTGTGTGTCTGTGTGAGTGAGTGTGTGTGTGTGTGTGTGTGTGAGTGTGTGAGTGTGTGAGTGTGTGTGTGTGTGTGTGTGAGTGTGTGTGTGTGAGTGTGTGAGAGAGGGTGTGTGTGTGTGTGTGTGTGTGTGTGTGTGTGAGAGTGTGTGTGTGTGTGTGTGTGTGTGATGTGTGTGTGTGTGTGTGTGTGTGTGTGTGTGTGTGTGTGTGTGTGTGTGTGTGTGTGTGTGTGTGTGTGTGTGTGTGTGAGTGTGTGTGTGTGTGTGTGTGTGTACACTCAGGATTCTAATAACATATAATAAGGAGATTTTTAGTAAATAAACCCATCACCTGCTCCACATGTTTATTGGCTCTACTGTGGAAGTATTTCTGTGCCATCTGAGTTTGAAAACGAATTTCTAAGATTGAATTTTTTCAGTATCAAAATCAGACTTTGAATTTTAAAAACCATCAAATTTCTAGCACTGAATTTTTTTTTGCCTCTGATTTTTTTTTCAATGTTGAAATAAATTCAGTGTAAAAAAAAAAAATTCAATTTCTAAAAAAAATTCAGTCTAAAAAAATTCAGGTCTGTCCTACCTGGGTGGGTGTCACATGACCAATGGAGCGTAACATGATTGGCTGGACATTGGCTGAATTGAGACAGGGATCGGTTGCTTCTCCCTGGTGACCCGGATGTTGAGTCTGGTTCTTTTTACACTGAATTTTATGAGATGTTGAATTTTTTTAGACTGAATTTTTTTCAACATTGAAAAAAAAATCAGAGGCAAAAAAAAATTCAGTGCTAGAAATTTGATGGTTTTTAAAATTCAAAGTCTGATTTTGATACTGAAAAAATTCAATCTTAGAAATTCGTTTTCAAACTCAGATGGCACAGAAATACTTCCACACTCTACACCTGATCCTGATTAAAGGGACAGTTCAACAGTTTAGAGATTTCTCTTGTTTCATCATCAGTCAGTCATCAGTCATCAGTCAGTCAGTCATCAGTCAGTCAGTCAGTCAGTCAGTCAGTCAGTCATCAGTCATCAGTCAGTCATCAGTCATCAGTCAGTCATCAGTCATCAGTCAGTCAGTCATCAGTCAGTCAGTCAGTCAGTCAGTCAGTCATCAGTCAGTCAGTCAGTCAGTCAGTCAGAGGCTCCTGCTGAAACACTCATGGATTTGATATTTTTCTGGATGTTTTTGTTGCTTTCATGAAATTTAAACCACAAAGCGAAATAACTGAAATTTACACTGATTATATTTAAACTCTGGGTTTAATTTAATCTTCATCACTTCATTTCATAATTAAGATCACCATGAGGTCCACTAAGAAGGTGTTCTTAAGCTTTCAGTCATGGCACATGATCTTCATCATGTAGTAATTTACTTTTTTTCAATGACATCAACTGAACACGACCATGTGGTCTGATTGAAAGCTTCAAACTAGAACTTGTTTGTCACCGTCAGGAAACTTTAAAACTTTAAATCATGTTCTGTTTGAACGTCATTTTTACTAAAGAGATAATCCTGTTGATCAGCTGTGAAGGTCTTGGTAGATTTTTTTTTAAACTTTGGACAGTCAGCTGAGCTGTTTCCCTCTGTTTCCAGTCTTTATGCTAAGCTAGGCTAACTACATCCTGACTGCAGCTCTGGACTGAACGAACATGAGACTGATGCACCTGAACATCTCACTCTGCAGCAGAAAGAGAAGAAGAAAACTGCTTGTTTAAGAGCTTCCACAGAGTTGATGAAGCACAGTGTCTGTAAATGATTCAAGGACAGCATTTGAACATGGAATTGTAAAATGAAACGGGGGAATGTAAATGTGATTTATCGCTTCATGCCAACAACTATCAGTCGGTCGTGGATCGCTGCTTCCTCCTCCTCTCATTTCCTCTTTCTTGGCTCCTACTTGTTGTTTTTCTGTTTCTTTTTCCAGCTGATATTAATGGATTCAGCCCAAAGCGTGAATGCATGAATGCATGAAGGATGCGGTGAGGATGTTAGTGAGGTTAGTGGGGTGGGGGGGGGGTGGACAGGGGGACAGTCAGAGGAGGGAGGGAGGAGGTGAACAATGCAATGCGGTGTTCAGTCCACACACACACGCACACACACACACACACACACACACACACACACACACACACACACACACACACATCCACACCCTCGGCGGCGGGAAACTGTAGCTCAGCCAGGCGAGATGTGAGCCCACCTTTTGTTTAGTCGCCAGGGACGACAACATCACCTGGCACGGAGATGCATTTTGAGCTTGCTACCTTCTAAACGAGTCTCGCTGAGACTCGCTGAGCTCTTTGATACAGAAGCCAAAACAATGGAGCGCTCCCCGCGGGCGAGTTTAGACTTTACCGGCCTCCAAAACACACCTGCGCCTTCCAAGCAGCAGCTCCGACTCCAGGCATGTTAATCAGAGCCCGGTGTGAAGTTTCAACAGGGCCGACTGAAAACTACTGAAGCGTCGACTCGTCTCCTGCAGCGTGAAGCGCTTCACTTTTATTCACTCTTATTATTCTGCGCACCAGAGCTGCAGCTGTTGAAGACCTGCACGTCTGAGAACCTCCACAAACACAAGAAACAACGACTCCACATCTCATACACAACAGGAAGTCAGACACGCGTGATCAGTGTCTTGTACTCCAGCTATCAATACAACACGCCGGGTATCGAACCTCAGCATTAACTTAAAGAAACACTGTTTTCATCAGACCCTCAAGGTACACTTACTATCTTTTTAACAGCTCTCAGAGATCAATGAATCCTTGGTATTATAATAAAGCCTGACTGAGGCTGTCTGGCCCGACAGGTTGGACCTGGTACAGAACCAGAACAAACAGAAACTGTTCGTAGCTGTTGAGAACAGTTGAGATCAACAGATCAAGGTTCACTTACTAGGCTTTTTTCAAAAGCTTTCGGCCACATCAGTGTTCCGCCTTTCTTCATTGTTTTGTATTTTATTTATTGAAGCACAAACTCAAATCAAAAATGTCAAAAACGTTTCGGCTGCTTTCAGTAAATACACTTCAGTTAACTGTTCAAGATGCCGGCCATGAACCACAACAGCTCAAGTCCAGCTGGAACCAGCTGTCTGTCCTCTGTCTCCTGTCATCTGTTGCTACCCAATAAAGGCAGGAGATGGTTCTCTTCAACTGCTTTCAGCACTTTTACTTCAACTAAAACTTCAGCTCACTGCACTGGATGACCTTCAACTGACACATCAACTGCTTTCATCACATACCTTTCAACCGACACCTCAACACTTCAAGTGACACTTGAAATGCTTTCAGTGCTTTCACTGACACTTCAATTCCCTTCAGTGTTTACAAATCAACTGCTTTCATCGCTTACACCTCAACTGCCCCTTCAGTTCCTTTCAGTGCTTACGTGTCAACTTAAATTCAGCTCACTGCAGTGATCAACCTTCAACTGACACATCAACTGCTTTCATCACATACCCTTCAACTGACACCTCAACACCACACTGATACTTGAAACACTTTCAGTACTTTGACATTTAAATTCCTTTCAGTGAAACTTTAAGTAAATTCAATGTTTCACTTTCAGCTGACACATCAAATGCTTTAATCACTTCCACCTCAACTGACACTTCAACCTTTTGCAGTGCACACACATCAACCGAAACTGAAGTAAAATGCAGTGATCAACCCTCAACTCACACATCAACTGCTTTCATCACTTACACCTTAACTGACACCTCAGTTCTTTTCAGTGCTTACACTTCAACTGAAGTTTCATCTCACTGTAGTGATAAACCTTCAACCAACATCTCAACACTTCAACTGATATTTGAAACGCTTCCAGTGCTTTGACTGACACTTCAATTCCCTTCGATGTTTACACATCAACTGCTTCCATTGCAAAAATTCAACACTTCAATCTTTTTCAGTGCATTAAAATGCAGTGATCAACCCTCAACTCACACATCAACTGCTTTCATCGTTTACACATTAACTGACACCTCAGTTCCTTTCAGTGCCTAGTTTTAGCTCACTGCAGTGATTCACCTGACACATCAACTGCTTTCATCAATTAAACTTACACCGACACTTCAACCTCTTTCAGTGCACACACATCAACTGAAACTGCAGTAAAGTACAGCATCAACCCTCAACTTACACATCAACTGCTTTCATTGCTCAAACTCTTAACAACTCAAGTCTTTCAGCGCTCACACTGACACTCCAGCTCCCTTCAGTGTTTAAACTTCAGCTGAATGTAGAGATACTTTCAACTGACACATCTACTGCTTTCATCAACCGCTTAAAATGAACCGTTCCTCCCTTCAGCGCTCTATCTGACACTTCAACTCCCTAAGTGCTTAAACATTGAAACAGTAAATTCTGGAACATTTTGTAATTGAGAGTTTGAAGGTGACGCTTCAGATCGATCAGGTTGGTGTTTATTTAAATTAGAAGTGACTCACTTGCGTAAGCAGAGTTGGCGGTGGAGCCGTTGAGGAAGCTGGGGGATCCTGGTACGCCCAGGTTGGTCATACCCGCGGCTCCGTATCCGTTCATGGTGGACGTGATGGTGTTGTAGTTGGACTGCTGAGGCGTGGAGCTCGGCACGTAGCCGCGAGGAGACACGCTGTTCGAGTTGCGGGAGTAACCTGAGAGGAGCAGAGAGACGAGCGTCAGAGTTCTTCTTCACGTGTTTATACACCGACTGTTTCCTGGACCAGACGACCTTAAACACAACCTGGAGTTAGTGGAAGGAAGACGTAAATAAACACACTGTGAGGAAGGTTTTTCACTTTGTGATGCGTATGTGACGTTAATCAGACTTTCAGTCCAGCTGCTTCAGTCACTTTCTAAAGTCACAGCTCATGATTCATCCGACTGTTAATTTCCTGACGAATCAACATTGTTCCATAAAATGTAAAAAAATAGAAAAAGTGACACCATGAAACATCCAGTTTTATCAGACCACAAACAGAAGCTGTTCAGATTAATGTCAGAGAAGAAGAAGTTCTGATCCCTCCTGTTCATCCTGGACATTAAAACATGGACGACTGACGAGGTTTAAGTGAAACACGATCACAGATCAGATCTGAGCTCAGAGGAGTGTCACTGTTCGACCCTCGTGTGTGTGTGTGTGTGTGTTCCTCTATGTCTGACCTCCTCGTCGTGACCTCAGCGGTGACATCATCACACCTGTCATTGCTGTTCGCCTGATACTGACTGCTGAACTCCCCACAGGAAAGTCTGCCATTCATTTACCTTAACCCCCCCCCCCCCACTGATTGACCATCCTCCGAGATGCGTTGAATACCGATGTTCCCAGCAGCACTCAGCCTGACCTTTGACCCTCTCATGAGGCTCCCAAGTTCCCACCGACGTCAGCCCAGCTCGCTGAGCAGAGCCAACAGTGTGCCAAGTAGCACATTACAGCCCCCCCCCCCCAAAAAAAACCCTCCCCCTACACTCTTCCACTTTCCCCCACTTCCTGGTTCGGGCCAACGCAATTCCCAGCAGGAGTGGCTGATGGAGCGCTGCCCGGGGACGAGGGCGAGGAGAGGCGGCGATGGGAAACACATGTGGAGGAGAACAGTGCAGGGAGCGGTCGAGAGCTGCAGCACGTCACAGAACACACTCAATGGATTGTTCTTCAATAAACAAAAGAATTTCTGAACAAATGGACCCAGAACTCGGTCCTGTTTGTTCTGGTGTGTTCCCGCTCCCGTCCCCGTCCCCGTCAGCAGCGGCGTGGGAAGCAGAGCTGATGCAGATCACTTCCTTCGACCTCGCACTGAACACTCAAATGGAAACATGTGTTTCTGTGCTGATTCTCACTGCGACAGAGACTCTGTCAGAGATCAGCTGACGTCCTGCAGGTGGGGCGGGTCCTCAGCTGCGACACTGACCCCCCCTCAAAGAGTCAGATCATCTACAGGTGTCAGGACGAGTCACATGACGGTTTCTCGGAGTCCAACAAACAAATGCCACAGCTGGACTGAAACCACTGCACAGACTACTCTACACATCTGGTCACATGACCTCTTCTCACTGAGTGACACAAACACATCTGGATCTGGATTTGATTCCTCTCAGGTAAAATAATCCACACTCAACGTTCACGTCCGGACTTCTTCTTCTGCAGCTTTCAGCCGTACACCATGACCTTCCTCTGAGTTATTTCTACCCACTGACACTTGAACTGCTTTCATTATCAGTTCAGTGTTTTCACTTGTTACACGTCACCTCAGTGATGATCTCCCTCCGCACTCCATCAGCTGTTCGTACTTAGGGCACGTGATGTCACCCGACACCTGAAAGAGGCTCAGGGATTTGGTTGAAAGCTCTGGATCACATCGAGTTTAGAAAGTTTTTCCATCATTAATAAAAGTGTATTTCACCAACACACGTGTTTATTTCCTCTTCATACTAATAATAATAATAATTATTATTATGATAATAATCTTAATTAACATCTTTACACTCAGGTCCGTCCCACAGTCGTCTACAGAAGAGCTCATGTAAACAGTTTAAAACTCCGCCCAGCCCTGTTCTCCTCCTCCATCATCTGTCAGAGTGAAGACACAAAGACAAGCTCCAGAGGATGAAGAGTAAAGCCCCGGGTCTCTTCAGGAGGAGGAGCTGACGGCGAGCGTCTCTGGATCAGGGCTGTAAATTACCTGCGTCCTCCGCCTGATAAGAGCTGGGCTCAGGAGCCACTGTTTTTATTAATGTTTTAATCACCGTGGATAATTGCGCCGGGCACAAAGAGCCGTTTCATACTGGAGAACAGCGGGGAGGACGGTGGTCAGACCGCCGGTGTAATGTTTCCGACCGGAGAGCCTGGCGCACATAAACTACACAGTTATGAATTTTCAGCGCGGCCGCTGCAGCCTCGTTTCCCATGACCTCATAGATTCCTGTAAGGTGTTCGCTGCCGGGCTGATGTGAAAAGCAGACGATGGTTTGGAGGGGGTGGGGGGGGGGGGGGGGGGGGTCGGGGGGACGTGTCGTGCCGGGGAGTAAAAGAGCTCTATCTGCTTCCTGTCGCACGCCGTGCTCACGAGCTGATCAGCTGCACGTTTTCCTGAGCGACCGTGACAGAACAGAAACGCGCGCTGACAGGAAACATGACGGAAACTTACTCTGCTGATGAATTCAGAGTTTCTTCTTCCTGTCGTCCACAGGAACAGTGTTAGCGTATGAATGCCTCGAGTCGCCGGCGTGGTCCAGAAACTATTAGAACACTGAGTCATTAACATCAACACACACAGTCCAGCTGCTCCAACCACTACATAGCCCGAATGTGGATTAATCCGACGCTGAAAGTAGTCCCCAAACAGAATCACTCTCCTGACATGTGAGTCTGACAGCAAAGACGATCAGCTGCTGTTCACGTCACTGTTTTAGCAACCTAAAAAAGGCCCCACAGGCCCCCCCCCGGAAAGAACTCCCTTTAACTGGGGTGGTGAGGTGGTGTTCTGGACTGGACCGTGTGCAGGTCTAAAGGTCTCTCCTGAACTTGCTGGACGAAGATGACTGCAGGTTACTGAAACACCTACACAGCCGCAGGTGTGCAGGTTGTACCGGTGGCGCCCCCGGTGAGGGGCGAGCATGGGGTCTCACCCTGGTCGGCTGCGAGGCCTCGAGATGTTGACGGCGAGCTGACTGCTGAACGAGTTCAACTCCGCATCTCCCGAGTGAGCGGCCGAGCAGGTGAGAGACGGCAGCTGGTTGTGACTGCGGGGGACCGCTGTAGAGCGGCTCGTCGTGAGGTCGCTGCTCGCTTCAAGGATGATCTCCTGCACACAGGGAGAGAGGGGGAGGATGGAGGAGCAGGGGGGGAGGAAGGGGCAGGGCAGAAATAAAAAAGTTATGAAACAATCAATATTCTTATTCTGCTGAAAGATCATGTAATACAACTGGAAAGCTCAAGAACTTCTTGGAACTTTTTGATGTCACAACAAAAGCTAGCAGCTAGCTGTTTTAAATAACCAAGCTGTCACTCTGTCGGCCAATCAGCAGGCTGCAGAGATCAAAGTGGTGTGGAATACAGGTCCGCTTTAATAGAAAGGAGAAGGTACCAGTTTCCTCAGGTATGGAATCAACACCTGCAGCTGCTGACTCCACCTGGTTGTTGTGTGGCTATCCGACAGAGAGCTTCAACCAGGTCAGCGGCTCGCTTCAACAGCACTCCTAAAGAGAGAGAGAGAGCAGAGGGAGAGTAGAGGAGAGAGGAAGAGAGAGGAGAGAGAGAGGGAGAGGAGAGGGAGAGAGACAGAGAGAGAGAGGAGAGAGGAGAGGAAGAGAAGAGAGAGGGAGAGAGAGAGAGGGAGAGGAGAGGGAGAGAGAGGGAGAGAGAGGGAGGAGAGGAGAGAGAGAGGGAGGAGGGGAGAGAGAGGGGGAGAGGAGAGAGAGAGAGAGAGACAGAGGCAGAGAGACGAGGGGAGAGAGAGAGAGAGAGTGGAGAAGAGAGAGAGGAGAGAGGGAGAGAGAGAGAGGAGAGGGAGAGGAGAGAGGGAGAGAGAGGGAGAGAGAAGGAGACAGAGAGGGAGAGAGAGAGGGAGACGCAGAGAGGAGAGGGAGAAGAGAGAAGAGAGAGAGAAAGAAGGGAAGAGGAGAGGGAGAGAGGGGGAGAGAAAGAGGGAGAAGAGTAGAGGGGGAGAGGGGGAGAGAGCAGAGGGAGGACGTAGATAGAGATACAGAGTGGAGAAGAGCGAGGGAGAGGAGAGAGAGAGAGAGAAAGACGGGAGGGGGTGCGTGGTGAGAGCACGGCTCGGAGCGATACCAGTCGGTGCAGCGGTTCAACGGGACTTGGAGGTAGTGGACGAGGTCAGTGCATTGGATGCTCATCTAGGCAGGGACAGGCGGAGGTCTGGGCGTTCCGGGCCGGCTTCAGTGACGGGGCGCATTAGATAGCCCCTTAGTCACGCCGCTGTGTTTGATTTCCTCATGGCCCTGGTATTAAGGAGGCACACTGTCGGGTCAGCTAGCGGTCCTTGTAGTACTGTCTATAAGGGCGAGTGTTGCGTGAATGTGACCCCCGCGCATGAGATTTTCGAATGCGGAGAGGCGAGAGGAGAGGAGAAAGAGAGAGAAGGGAGAGAGAGAAAGAGGGAGAAGAGAGAGGTGACAGGATGTGGGGAGAGAGAGAGAGAGGAGAGAGAAAGAGGGAGAGAGAGAGGGGGAGAGGGGAAGAGAGAGGAGAGAGAGGGGAGAGAAGAGAGAAGGGAGAGAGGAAAGAGGGAGAGAGAGACGGGAGGAGACAGAGCAGAGAGAAAGAGGGAGAGGAGAGAGAGAGAGAGAGAGTTTCATTTAGAAAAGGGTTTAACAGACTCTTGGTTTTTATTCTTGAAAGAGTTGAAATGTCGTTTGACTGGAGCCTGTAAAGATGAAGCTCAGGAGGTGACACACTCCACTGAGTTTTAACAGTAATATCAAGCATCGTGGAGCAATAGTTCCAGCCCACTTTGTACTAATCAAATATGGCTCCTCAGGATTTTTAACGGTAAAAAAAACGTTGCTGCTATGTTAGAAACTGGTGGAGCATTCTGACACCAGCTTTTCTGTGGACGCCACCCTAACGGTCGGGTTAGGAGCTGCAGAACCGGCCTGTCACAATCAACCTGTTTGAGTGCTCCGCCTTGCAAGCACT